TTTCAAATAGTTAATTTGATACTAATATCGATATATTTTTGTCAAATTTTTATGATATCTTCAAACATATATTTTATTAAAAAATAAAAGCATCATCACTTTCTCAAAATCACATAAAGCCATATTATAACATCGACTGAGATAAAGAATAAAATAAAATATTAAAATTACTATGTATCTCGCTGCATTGCGCGAGTACGCTTCTAGTGATTTATGAACATGTTTGGCCCTACTCAGCTCCAAAAACTTAATGAGTTTTTGGACGAGCCAAGTCGAACATTGATGTTATTGTTGTTAAATTAAACGAGTTTTAGTGTGTGTTTGAAATGACTCGAGCTTGACAAGTATTAAGCTCGAGGTACAAATTAAAGAACTCGAGTAGATCGTTAAAGGTTCGAGTTGTTAACACCACTACCTACGCCATACAAGGATTAGTGGATTTGTTTGGTTTGTTATGTTTTGAGACAAATTTAAATGTATTGCAATTATGAATATTACCATTAAGTGATATGATCTTTTTCATGTTACAAAAAGATTAGTGGTAATTTCGATTTTCATTTACATGGTCGGTCAACTTAATTTAAGTTGTATATTAATTTTTACCAAGTCAAATGAATCAAAACTTCAAAAAGATGATCCTGCTAAATGTATTAAAATCCATCCAACTTTTTAAATTGTTTTATTTTAAAAATAGAGTATAGTATCATAGTAGAGTGAGGGTTAGCAGAAAATTCGAGAAAAATAAAAATTGAGAAACATCTTAATAACCATTTATCTGGTATATATATATATATATATATATATATATATATATATGTGTGTGTGTGTGTGTGTGAGTGTGTGTGTGTGTGAGTGTGCATGAAGTAATTGAAGATGTTTCTTGGATTTTATGCATCGTTGCATTAGATGCAACAACAAGCACCAGTTTAACTTGGGGGCGGTGGTTTAGTATCAGTGGATGGCAAGGTAGCTTTGTGCATGTCAAACAAATCATTTGTATCCACGTGTGTATATTATACAAATGAATGGTTATTAAAGTGTTCCTAAGTTTTTCATTTTATACCGTAATAAAACACTAATTATTTGTATATTAAAGAAAATGAATTAAAAAAATGTGTTTGGTAAACCTTACCCAATCCATTTAGACTAAATATGTTACATCATCTGTTTTTTTTTTTACATGATAAGAATAGAATTGTAGTTTAAAATAATTTCATTTTTTGTTTTTTCTCGCTCCATTCTATATTAAACGAAATGATCATGATCCATGACGAAGAAATAAGCAAGACCAGTGTTTACCGTTCCATCAATATGTTACATATAGAACAACCTGAAAAACGATTCATGGAAATTACGGCTCAAATTTTAGCCCTAATTCGACTTAATTAAAAGGATGATGGAAAGGACAAGTTCAAAATCATCATTAATTTTTTTTTCCAATTCATTGGGTTTTTAGATACAACAGCTTTAACTATAAGTCTATAACCTCGGGCCTATTTATTGGTCTGTTTAAAATCATTAATGGAAAGAATCAAATACTTTTGTTGATAACGTTTGAGTGATTAAATGTTACAATTTTGAGTTGTGCATACCAAGAAAAGCTTGAACGACCTTCTGAATGAACTTCTATGAAATGATTTCACGTGATTCGGCCAATTTGCTTCTTATGATAACAAATATTCGAATGTTTTTATAGGATTGAAGAAGACAGTCTAAGTACTTTAGTAGATTGATCCCAACCTTCCAAATGGGTATAAAGCTACAGTTAGTGAGCTAAATTAAAGATGCATACGGACAGGTTAGGTTTTCCAAATGGTCCAGTCGTGTTTAAGAGGTTCTGATTATAAAATACGGGTCTGACCGTCTTTTGGTCGTTAAACAATACTTGACTGGTCATTTGCTCCTCAACTGGTTATTGGACCAATTGTCGTTTGTGTCGAATTCATGAATTTCAATGTCAAGTGAAAATTTTGTGGAGTTCTAATTGACAATTTTCCTCCCACGTAAGAAGTGTGTCATAATTTTTACATTGTGTTTTTCTTTTCCACTTGACATAATTGTCAAATCGTAATGTTGCCAAATTGGCCTTGTCGGCTATGATCCATAATTACTTCGCTATCATAATCAAGAAATCAAGACTTGGCTTGAGAACCGTTGGTTTGTGTTTCAGACTAGGAAAACATTGTGAAATGTCATTTTCCAATGGAAATCAAAATCCAAATTATAACGTAAGCTTGAGCTTTGCGAGAATGAGAAATTCGCTAATAGGTGAAATTTCCTACGAATATAATCATATACTCGTATTTTGATAACTTAATTAAAGTAAATTAAAGAAAAAGATAACAAGGGTCGAAAAGGGGGGAAAGGTACAAATTTTGCTAGAGAGCGGTTAAATTGTTGGCTAATGACAGGTTGCCATGTGGCAATTAAAAAATTTCGAAGAATAATTGTTTCGATCCGTTAGACCAGTTCCTTAAACGGTCCAAAAAAAAGTCTGTTGTAGACCCGATTTAAAAAAAAGTTCAAGTTTAGGGTTGGACCTGAATATTGATAGGCCCCTTGCTTAACGGTTATGATTTATACCCAAATGCAGTTAATTTGGGTAACTACTAGGGGTGTTCATCCAAACTATACAAACTGCTCACACCATACCGCATTGCAAAACGTGGTTTGCAACTTTTACGGTGTGGTTTGGTTTGTATTTTTATCAAATTGCACCGTGTGGTTTTGAGTTATCAAATCGCAGTTCAAACCGCACTGCACCACATATTTTGTATATTTTTTTAATTCAATATATAACATACACACAATTATATACAAATAATAATTTATTATTTATGTAATATTTTTGGACTTTATGTTTTGGACTTTGAATTTAATCCAATATGACAATTGGTAATATTAACAAATTAGTTGGACACCTCACAACTCACACAGTCACACGTCTAATTTAGTTTGAAGTTAATTTTTTTTTACTTCTTAGAATATTTTTGATTATTCAATATGTATTTGGGAATCAAATGTATTGAAATTCTTTATTTTTTGGACCATGGCCACTTTATCGTTAATTTACCATTAAACTTATAATTATTTTATTGCAGGCACGGGCCTGTTCCGGGGGGGGGGTACA